AATATTTTCACATCAAACCAAATTCATAAAATACCCAATAAAGTCACACAACTTAATAAGATTTTCCACAAAAATAATAAAACAAAGTATTATTTTTGAGGTTATTACATAATTAGACCGTAATACGTTTTAAGAAATAATTTTTAAAAATAATAAGTATCAAAAATATATTTTTTTTAAAGGATGGTATAAATAAATATGTAAATGTTTGGTGATGTGTTCAAGAAAAACATGATTATATTTGGTGGTAGTAGTACGATTATGTTTCATGATATGATTATATTTAGTGATATGATATATTGTTCATCTTATTTATATATATATATATAAATAATTGTTGTATTAATAATTGACACAAATTAATGTGCTAATCATCCAATTATAAACTAGGAATGAATACAGAAAAGTAAATGAAATGAAACAAATTATATATGTGATTTAAGTGATATAATCATAATCCTAAACTCTTATTTATACATAATTATATATGTATGCAGGCCTAACGGGCCGGGCTTTTGTGGGTGGGCCGGGCCGGGCTTTCTTGGGCTTAATCGGGCCGGGCCTATGGGCCGGGCCAGGCTTCAGACATCCAAGCCCAAGCCTAGCCCGGCCCAAGGCGGACCGGGCCATCTCAAAGCCCATAACGGGCAGGGCCGGGCTTTTTTCCAATGGGCCGGAAGGGCCCCCATCGGCCCATGAGCCCGCGGGCCAAATGATAAGGCCTAATTATAGTATATGTTCCACTTTGTTCCAAGTTGTAAGACATAATTTTATGAATTATCTTTATTTTTTGTTTTAGTCACAATGTAATTAGGATTCCTTGTATACTTAGGTATAATTGTAAAGCACTCTTGTAAACTATATATATTGCTTCTAAAGTGGAGAGTAATAATCATCTGAAAATTCCCACATATTGTTTAACATGGTATCAGAGCAGCACTTTTCTAGTGACCTTGTGTGTCATGCCCACCTGTTCAATAACCTATGCCAAACCCTATTTTGTTTTAGGGTTTTTCCACACCTTGTCGTTCCCCCTCTCTGCTTGTGTTGTGTGCCCTAATTTTCTTTTTAGGAAATTTTTTTTTTTGGTGTTTTCCGCTGCAATCATGGGTGATGATTCAAAAGGTGGTGATGTTACTGGTGCTTCTAGTTCCAAGGAGGATCGACCCTCTCGTGCCTATTTTGTCCTTATTACCCCTAAAAAATTGGATGGATCCAATTATGCCTCTTGGTCACGTAGTGCACTCCTTACGATTACTGGTTGTCATATGGTAGGATTTATCAATGGGAAAAAGCTCCAAAGGAAGACTTTAATGAATATGTTGAATGGACAGAAGACAATTGTTTGATGCAGTCATGGCTTCTCAATTCCATGACCAAGAAGGTGTGCACCTTGTTTGAGCAGTGTGATACTGCTATCTGGGATGCTACCTAGAAAACCTATATTGTTACTCAAAATACTTCTCGTTTCTTTCAATTTTGATGGCAATCTGTGAGATGTCAGAATGGTGAGCCTATGAATGTGTTTTACGAGAAATTACATGTTATTTTGCAAGAGATTGATTGTCTGCACCCCAATGAACTTACCAATCCAAGTGATGTAGCTCGACGCTAGAAAGAAATTGAAATCGACCGAGTCTATGATTTTCTTGGAGGACTTGACCCTCAATTTGATGGAGTTCGTAGTCCCATCTAACTTGGAAGCCTATGTCATAGTGATAGAGGAAAACACTCGACGACTACCATGCTTGCAAGTGCCGCTACCATGAAGGCATATTCTACCCGCTCCAGAGCCCAACAACCAGTTGTTTGTCCTCTTTTGTTGGCTTCCGCCTACCTGGGCCTTCTTAGACAACCAACCAACTCGGCCTAGCCAAGGCCAAACCTAGTCCCCCCCCCCCCCCCCCCCCTCTCCAAGGAACCCACAAGTGTATTCATTGTGGAGGTGATCATCTTTCCGGAAACTATTTTAAAGAACATGGTTACCCATACTGGCTTGTTGACTACAAATCCAGCACGTGTGGCCCTAAGGTTGCTTGCACTATGACTCAAGGAGAGACTGAACCCACTGTGCCGTCTACAAATTTTCTTGTTTCTGACTCCGTACCAGGTACTTTTTACAATACTTGGATAATTGACACTGGTGCTAAATTATGTGATGCTAAATTATTTGATAATTTGTCTAGTAAAACTTGTGACCCATACATAACTAGTGCTAATGGCTTACCCTCTCCAATTACTGGTGAGGGCACAATAACCCTCACTTCTAGATTGTATTTGTCACGTGCGTTACTGGTTCCGAATATTCATTGTAATTTGTTATTTGTTGGCTAATTACTTGATTTACTTAATGAGTTTGCTACTTTCTGTTATAAACATTGTTCTTTCTAGGATCTCAGGACGCACTAGACGATTGGGCATGGTAAAAGGATAGGGGGATTACACTATTTGAAATTACCGATAGAAGCAGTTTGTGATCGAGTCGTTAAGAGCATCTCCAGCATGCAACCCAAACTGGGGGAAAGGTCCCCCTGGCGAGCCCAAACGCCCTTCAGCGCGAGAGAAGAAGCCCGGGCAAGAGCTGGGTCCCACCAACCCTGGCAGGCCCAAGGGCAAGTTTTGCCTGGGCTTCAGCCCGAGGGCTATGACGTCAACGCTGATGTCACAGCACGGTAAAAAAATTTGTCTTCCACGTGCTAACGTCAGTGCTGATGTCACTCCTAACAAAATTCAACGAACATGTGCCATGTGTCGCAACAGGGACGCTCCGATAGGTTTTTTGGCTAAAAAAATTTGAAAAAATTCTGAATTTTTTTTAAAAAAAATACCAAAAAATTATGTATTTTTTCTCTATAA